TTTTTAACAATTTTAGTACTTTATTATACTCAGTGGGTAAGTTTTCTATTCTGGTTAAATGGAAAATATTTTGTATAGTTACCTTTTTTATTCACAGAGCCTTTGCCGTCCTAATTTTTCTGACCCTTTTCCTGCTTCTCTCCTTTTTCATTCTTTCGTTGTAGGTGTGGCAGAGAAAACACAGCTTCTGAAATTGAGTGTACCTGCTACCTTTATGCTTGTGTCTTTGGATGAAGGTCCAGGTCCTCCAATTAAATATCAGTATGCTGAATTGGGCAAATTATACTCAGTAGTGTCACAGCTGATTCGCTGTTGCAATGTGTCATCAAGAATGCAGTCTTCAATCAATGGTAAAGTTGCATTCCAGTTTAGGCAACAGAGTGAGAATTCAACTCAAAAAAAAAAAAAAAAAAAAATTTAGCCAGGCATGGTAGTACACACTTGTAGTTCCAGCTACTTGGAAGGCTGAGGCAGAAGGATTGCCTGAGCCCACCAGGCCTATGCTGGGGTGGCTGCAAGCATGCCACTGCACTCCATCCAGCCTGGGCAACAGAGACTCCTACTAAAAAAAAAAAAAAAAAAAAATAGCATTTGCAACAATTTTAAAAATAATAGGTTAGGGTGAGGGTTATCCCTTAATGAAAAAAATTAGCCTCTGATGAGAAATAATCTCCTAATGAGAAAAATATTTAATTAACAACAAAACTATAAAATATTAAGAAAAATTGCATCATGGAGAGCATGAAGAATAAAATTAAATTAAAAAGAATACAAAAAAGAAAAGTAAATTCAGGTGCAGTGACTCACACCTGTAATCCCAGCACTTTGGGAGGCTGAGGCGGGAGGAATACTTGAGCCCAGTAGTTTGAGACCAGCCTGGGCAACATAGCGAGGTCCTGTCTCTACAAAAAATAAAAAAATTAGCCAGGTGTGGTGATACACCCTTGTAGTCCCAGCTACTCGGGAGGCTGAGGCAGAAGGACTGCCTGAGTCTAGGAGATAGAGGCTGTGGCTAGCCATGATCATGCCACTGCACTCCAAGCTGGACAAGAGAGTAAGACCCTGACACACACACAAAAAGTATATATATACATAGGAACTATACCATGTTTCACCTATAAAATCTTATCAAAAAACATGATATCAATAAAATATTGTTAAAGGATAAGATATGAACAAATGGAAAGTCATACTAAATTCATGATGTTGTTCGAGGTTCGCCTGGGCAACTTGGCGAGACCTCATCTCTACAATACATCAAAAAATGAGCCGGGCGTGGTAGCGTGCGCCTGTAGTTCCAGCTACTTGGAAGGCTGAGCCGAAGGATCGCCGGAGCCCAGCAGGTCGAGGCTGCGGTGGCCGGGAGCGGCCACTGCACTCCAGTCTGGGTGACAGAGTGAGACTCCTACTCAAAAAAAAAAAAATTCATGATGTTGTGTATGATCCAAATCTCAACTCTCAGCTGTGTCCCTTCCTAGGAAAGGTCTTTAGCAGAAGGCTACTGATTTGCTCAGTGCTAACCACTTTTCACCCCAATGGTGACCTGGTACCCTTCCAGTTACTACCTCTCTGGCAGAGGTAATTACCATTCTGACTTCTGTTGCCACAGATAAATCTCACTTATTTTAAAACTTCATATAAATGGAATCATATAAATATGTATTCTTTTGTGTCTGGCTTTTTATCTATTTATTTATTTTAACAACAGGGTCTCGCTTGACTAATTTGTCTATTTTTTGTAGAGACGAGGTTTCGTTACGTTGCCTTGGCTGGTTTCAAACTCCTGTGCTCAAGGTATTCGCCTGTCTTGGCCTCCCAAAGTATTGGGATTACAAGAGTGAATTACTGTGCCCAGCCCTCTATCACCTGTTCTAACCTAGACTCAGAAGTCACACAGTGGGTTTATTTTCACCTTGCCTTTTTTGTTTGCACCATGCCTGAACCAGTGAAATCAGCTCCAGCCCCTAAAAAGGGATCCAAGAAGGCCATCAATAAGGTGCAGAAGAAGGACGGCAAGAAGCGTAAGCACAGTCGCAAGGAAAGCTACTCCGTCTATGTGTTCAAGGTGCTGAAGCAGGTCCATCTCGACTCTGCCATTTCGTCTAAAGCTATGGGCATCATGAACTCTTTCATCAACAACGTCTTTGAGCGCATTGCGGGCGAGGCATCGCGTTTGGCACATTACAACAAGCGCTCAGTCGTTTGGTGGCTCAGCCTGTAATCCCATGCCTTGGGAGGCTGAGGTGAGTGGATTGCCTGAGCCCACAGGTTCGAGACCCACCCGGGCAACTTGGTGAGACCTCATCTCTACAATAAATCAAAAAATCAGCCAGGCGTGGTAGAGCGCCTGTAGTTCCAGCTACTTGGAAGGCTGAGGCAGAAGGATCGCCGGAGCGCAGCAGGTGGAGGCTGCGGTGGCTGGGAGCGGCCACTGCCCTCCAGTCTGGGCGACAGAGTGAGACTCCAACTCAAAAAAAAATTAAAAAATTACAAATAAAAAAAAAAACAAGCGCTTGACCATCACTTCCGGGGAGATCCAGACAGCCGTGTGCCTATTGCTGTCTGGGGAGCTGGCCAAGCACGCTGTGTCTGAGGGCACCAAGGCCATCACCAAATATACCAGCTCTAAGTTGAGTTAGTCATTGCTAAATGGACAGAAACTGGAAACATTTCCCCTGAAAACTGGAACAAGACAAGGCTGCCCACTCTCACCCCTCTTGTTCAACCTTGTGTTGGAAGTCCTAGCTCTGACAATTAGATAAGAGAAGGAAATCAGGGGTATCCAAATAGGAAAAGAGGAAGTCAAGTTATTCCTCTTTGCTGATGATATTATCCTGTACCTTGAAAATCCAAGAGAATCTGTCAAAAACCTGCTTTCACTGATAAAGGACTTTGGCAGAGTCTCAGGGTACAAAATAAATGTGCAAAAGACGATTGCATTCCTATACACCAACAACAAGCAGGCAGAGACCCAAATTAAAAGCCCAATCCCATTCACAATAGCCACACACAAAAAAGAAATACCTCGCCATCTTCCTAACCAGAGAAGTGAAAGACCTTTACAATGAAAACTATAAAACACTGCTCAAGGAAATCCAAGAAGACACAAACAAATGGAAAAATATTCCATGCTCATGGATAGGAAGAATCAACATTGTTAAAATTTCCATCCTACCAAGGGCAATCTACAGATTCAATGCAATACCCATTAGTTACCAACATCATTCTTCTCAGACCTGGAAATGACAATACAGAAATTTATATGGAAACATAAACGACCACGAATAGCCAAAACAATCCTTAGCAAAAGAAACAAAGCAGGAGATATCACACTTCCAGACTTCAAACTATACTATAAGGCTACAGTAATCAAAACAGCCTGGTATTGGTACAAGAACAGGCACATAGACCAATGGAACAGGATATAGATTTCAGAAGCAAAGCCTCAATTTCTCAACCAACTCATCTTTGACAAAGTCTCCAACAACAACCACTGGGGACCTATTCAGTAAATGATGCTGGGAAAACTGGCTCATCTTATGAAGAAGATTTGAACAGGATCCCTACCTATTACCCTATACAAAAATTAATTCTAAATGGATCAAAGACCTAAATGTAAAACCTCAAACTGTAAGAATCTTAGAAAACGCAGGAGACACCCTTATGAAAATTGGAACTGGCAACCAATTCCTATTCCGAACCCTAAACGCCCATATCTTAAGAAATAAGATAGATGAGTGGAACCTCATCAAACTAACGAGCTTCTGCAAAGCAAAAGAAACCATCAAGAGAGTAGGGAGACTGCCCACAGAAAGGGAAAATACATTTGCCAACTGTATATCTGACAAAGGTCTAACATCTAGGATCTACAAGGAACTCAAACACGCTGAAAGGAAAAAAACAAACAGCCCCATTAAAAAGTGGGCAAAGCCGGGCTCGATAGCTCAACCTGTAATCCCACGCCTTTGGGAGGCTGAGATGAGTAGATTGCCTGAGCCCGTGGGTTCAAGACCCGCCTGGGCAACTTGGTAAGACCTCATCTCTACAATAAATCAAAATGAGCCGGGCATGGTAGTGCGCGCTTGTAGTTCCAGCTACTTGGAAGGCTGAGGCGGAAGGATTGCCGTAGCCCAGCAGGTAGAGGTTGCGGTGGCCGGGAACGGCCACTACACTCCAGTCTGGGTGACAGAGTGAGACAACTCAAAAAAAAAAAAAAAGTGGGCAAAAGACATGAATAGACACCTCTCAAAAGAAGACATATGGGCACCCAACAGACACATGAAAAAGTGCTCAGCCTCACTCATCATCAGAGAAATGCAAATCAAAACCACACTGAGATACCACCTAATCCCCGTAAGAATGGCCATCATTAATAAAACATACAACAACAGATGCTGGCGAGGATGCGGAGAAAAAGGAATGCTTCTACACTGCTGGTGGGAAAGCAAACTAGTGCAAACTCTTTGGAAGACAGTGTGGCGATTTCTGAAAGAACTAGAAATTGACCTTCCATATGACCCAGCAATTCCCCTATTGGGAACTCAAATCATTCTACAAAAAAGATACCTGCACACGTTATGTTTGTTGCAGCTCTATTCACAATAGCAAAAACATGGAACAAACCATGTTGCCCATCGAAGCTGGACTAGATTAAAAAATGTGGTACATATACACAATGGAATATTATGCAGCCATAAAGAAGGACTAACATATGGACTTTGCAGCAACTTGGATGGATTTAGGGTCGATCATACTCAGTGATCTATCACAGAAACAAAGAACAGAGTACCATATGTTCTCACTCATAAGTGGACCTTGAACAATTTTAATACTATAAGAAAGGGATTGGCACTAGTGGTAAACTGTCAGGGGAGGGGGGGGTAGGATTGGCAGTTGAGGGAAATTGCTAGGGGAGGGAGGGGCATACATCATCAACAAGGGTACATGCATAATCAACGTTTGTATACCTAACCCTGAATTGTACCCCACAATTTTATAATAATTTTTAAAAAATCACACAGTGTCATTTTTGTCATCATTCTATTCAACAGAAGCAAAGCCACTAAGGTCACCCCATATTTAAGGATTGGGAAATTCGATTCTACCTTTTGTGGGAAAGGGTAAAAAACTGTGCAAGGGTACCTGCATAATCAATGTTTATATACCTAACTCTGAATTGTACCCCACATCTCTATAATAAATAATACTTTTTAAAAAAAACTGTGGCTGGGTGCAGTGGCTCACGCCTGTAATTTCAGCACTTTGGGAGGCTAGAGGAAGGATTGCTTGAGCCTTGAAGTTCAAGACCAGCCTGAGCAGCATAATGAGACCTTCTCTACAAACCACCCCTCCCCAAAATTAGGCAGACATGGTGGTGTGCACCTGTAGTCCAGCTACTTGGGAGGCTGATGTGGCAGGGTTGCCTGAGTCCAGGAGGTCAAGGCTGTGATGAGCTATGATCATGCCACTCCAATCCAGCCTGGGGGACAGAGTAAAACCCTGATTCAAAAAACAAACAAAAATTTGTGGACAGGTTTTATATCATCACCAAAAAGAAGGAATTAGGATAATACCACTAGATTTGGAGGGCCTGCCACAAAGTTGGAATGAGTAAGAAAAGTGTGTATAAAATAATCTAAATGTGTACAACAAAGGCAAAGGAACTGTGTGAACATGTATTGATATTTTTCTGATTATATAAGCAAGAAGAGAAATAGGGAATATATATCTTGTAAACATGGGTTGCAGAGAGTGATGGCAGTAGAAGGAAGAGGTGGGATAAGCAAAAAAGGAAAAGTGAAAAAGCTGAACCAAAAAACAGCAGTTAGGATGGGTTCTCCCTTATGCATTGAAGTATAGGTCAATATTTAACAGTATGAAGAAATAAATCCTTTAGAGAGGCATCCTTAGGTGATAGAAGGATCAAGAAAATTAAAAACCAACCATGCTGCCCATCAAAAGAGGACTGGGGCCAGGCATGGTGGCTCAGCCTATAATCCCAGCACTTTGGGAGGCCAAGATGAGAGGACTGCCTGAGCCTGGAGATTTGAGACCAGCCTGGGCAACTTGGTGAGACTTCGTCTCTACAATAAATCACAAAAAAAAACTAGCCAGGTGTGGTGGTGTGCATCTGTAGTTCCAGCTACTTGGAAGGCCGAGGCAGAAGGATCACCTGAGCCCAGCAGGTCAACCCTGCGGTGGTTTGTGAGGGTGCTACTACACTCCAGCCTGGGTGACAGAGTGAGACTCCAACTCCAAAAAAGGGACAAAATTATGAAATTTGCAGCAACTTGGATGAACTTAGAGGCTATAATACTCAGTGATCTATCACAGAAACAAAGAACTGAGGATCACGTGTTCTATTCATAAGCAGACCTTGAACAACTATCATAATACTATAAGAAAGGGATTGGCAGTAGTGGGAAACTGCCAAGGGAGGGTGGGGTTGGGATTCGCAGTAGTGGGAAACCACAGGGGTAGGGGGAACACCGCCTCAACAAGGATACCTGCATAATGAATATCTGTATACCTAATTCTGAATTGTACTCCACATATTTAAAATTAAAAAATTAAAAAAAGAAAATTAAGGAAGTGATAACCTTAAAACTCAGAATTAGGCAAGGAGGGGTGACTGGTAGGTCACAAGGAGGCTGCAGGGCACTGGCAACGTTCTTCATCCGGGTTTGGCCTGTGATAAATTATTGAGCAGAATGTCTTTGTTTTACGCACTTTTCTGTATTTGCTATGTTCCACACTCTTAAAAACTAAATTTAAAAAAATAACAAAAAAACCAACAAGGCAAAATCTGCAGAAGGTTCTCAGTAGTTGGAATGAAGGAATGATAGGCCCTGGCCTAGACCACTTATGCCTTTGCAGGGTGGTATGAACTTACACTCTGTTCAAGTATGTTAGGCAGGGGCTGATATGGCAAAATTTGCATTTCAAAAATAAGACTCTTAGTCGGGCATGGTGGCACATGCCTATAGTTCCAACTACTTGGAAGGCTGAGGTAGAAGGATCACCTGAGCTTGGCAGGTCAAGGCTGCGGTGGCTGTGAGTGTGCCAGAGCACTCCAGTCTGGGCGACAGAGTGAGACTCCAACTTAAAAAAAAAAAAAAAAGACTCTGAGACCCTTCTGCCTCAGCCTTCCAAGTAGCTGGAACTACAGGCACAGCCCATCACGCCCAACTAATTTTTTGATTTATCATAGAGATGAGGTGTCTCCAAGTTGCCCAGGCTGGTCTTGAACCTGTGGGCTCAGGCAATCCTCTCACCTCGGCCTCCCAAAGTGCTGTGACCATAGGCGTGAGCCACCTTTCCTGGCCTATTTGTTTGGAATTTTTGGAGATAGGGTCTCACTCTTTAAAAGCCCAGGCTAGAGTACGGTGGCACAGTCATAGCTCATTGTAACCTCAAACTCCTTGGCTCAAGTGATCCTCCTGCCTCAACCTCCTTAGTAGCTGGATTATGGGCACAAGCCTCCATGCCCAACTCCACTCCAGCATTTAACTATGTAAAGTCACTGCTGGTACAAGAGGTGAGAATGGCCACCAGGGGTGGAAGAAAACCAGGAGGGCTGAATGATTCCTGATATGGTGGTCCTTGAAGCAGGCGACAGGAGTCTACCATAGTGAATTCT